ACTTTTCACTAAACTTCTAACCTCACATCTGGATGAATAAGTTTAAAGTGTACCTAAAAATCCTACAGTGCGGATTGCGACGTTTTTTATACAGAGTATTTCTTGTATACACTTGTATAGTAGAAAGTACAGACAGCTCTAAATGCGCCGAATAGATAACTACAGTTTAAAATGAGTGTTTTTATTATAAACTTTATTATAAATTAATATCAACGATTTTTCGCTGCTTAACCTCTCCTAAATTTGGCAATGTTTAACATATGTATAACCTCCATTACTAACCTAACATACATTTAAATGTATGTGGTGAAATAATAAGTCAAGTCACTGCCAGCTCTCGTGGTTTCTACTATAGTAGCTCTACTTGCAAACATTTCTTGCGTTATGTTTGGTGTTTTGAAGACATTTAACGTAAAGCAGTAAAATAACAATGACCTAAAATGGTAAAAATGAATGCTGGAATTCATTTCTCATGTAAGATAAATCTTTTAAAAAACCATTACGTGGCTTGTTACAGCATTCATGACATTTTCAACTACTTTCTAAGTTTCTCAGTGTCCTGAAATTAATCATTTCACTTTTCCTTTTAATTTTAATGTTTTTTGGGTTCAAAGAAGTTTTCGGTGTTTCTTAAAAAAAATATTTGCTGTCATGATTTCTAAAAAATTAACCTTGGATGTTTCAAGCGAAATTTAAATAAAAATAAAAACAATATCAGAGGAAATTCCGCCAATGATGCATCAATGTTTTACAAGGAATTTCATCGGTTCATCGTTGGATTGGTGGAGACCGTTCGTAAGGTAGAGTTCGTTGTAGGCGTTCGTCTGCGTAGTAACTTTCGAGTTGAATGAAACTTGGGGGCAGAGGAACGCTCAAAACATTCAGTACTACGCGAAATCGCGCGTGGTCAAGAACCCACCCTCGAAACACAACATTTTCGAACGATAAATTTTCGAAATTGAAAAATCAACAAATAAAGATGAATCTTATTAAAAAAAAATCACTTTTGCATTTTATTTTCTTCAAAAATTCTTTTGCATTTAAAGATTTATTTTAAATTGTTACTTTTTGAAAGGGAATTTATTATTAAAAAATTAACAAATAATGAGTAGTATTTGCTTGTGGTGATTTGAAGTTTTTTGGTGTATTTAAAAAAATGTTACATTTAAAAAGAAAAAATAAACGCCGATGAAGTATTGGCTTATCGCAGGTATGTTGTAAATTTAAAATTCTGTCTTGTGGAAAGAAATGTTTATACTTTCGTGGTTTATTGCTTGGAGCAACCGATATAATAGCGGCACGTCTCGGTTCGATGCCAAAATATTTTTAAAGAGATTTGTCTCAACCAATCCGAAATTTTTTTTGTTACTGCATAAATTAAATTATACATATTTTTATTACACAAAAATGTAACATCTACCTCGATTCTATCGCAATAAACGAAAAAAGAACCGCATCTTCTCAATTGACTTTCGATAAAAGCGTTGCAATAACAGGGTGTAGAATCGTTTTGATAGAGGATGCGTGTATAAAAAAGGTTAACAAAAAAGAAATGGAGAACTAACGCTTCTAACAATGTGTGTGGGTGGTCTACTAAAAGAGCATCTCAAAGAATCTCGGCCGCACAACACAAAAGCTCCGCGGAATCCAATTCATTAGAAAATAGAAGAGAAGACCGGCCAAAAATAAAGTCGAAAAAATATCGTTTCGCCGGCTTTAAACAGTCCTCCAGGTCGTTCGGATGATTGGAGTTAATGCAATTGAATCCTGGCTGAAGAGGATTCGCGTTTCGGTTTTACGACCAACCTATTAGCTACATCCCCGTAATTGCACGTGTCGAGGAAATGTTTTAAAGTATCGAAAAATTAAATGTGACTTGCAATTCGACCGCGTTATACATCACTTGACTAAGCGACATTTTAACGTTTTTAAAGATTTTCATGCTGTCTGGTAGGTAAAGGTGTAACTTAGCTTACAAAAAATGCATCATAGACATACGTCTAAGAACCGACTTAGATACGACACTTAGATACACCAAGAAATTCTACAATAGAGAAAATAGATGAGCCTACAATTTCGGGTCGGTATCGTTTTCTAGATGTTAGTATAATATTAAAAGTTTATGTCTTTTATTTTATATAGAATTTAAGTCCAACTAGTTTCGGCCCTGGGCCATCTTCAGACACTCTACAAATAGATTAATCTCTCATCTTATCAGATATCACTGTGTTGCACTAAAACTAGAACTAACACTAGACCTAGAACTAGAAACATTCGGGTTTAGTCGTGAAAAAAACTTTCTTTCAATGTCAACTTTAATTTTATTATTATATTCGTAATCTCCATAAAATAACCTTTAAATTGAGTCCAAACTTGACGCATTTATCTCAAAAAACCAAAAAGTTCGAACTTTCAACTTGTAATTTTGACATATTTGTCAACTTCATAAAAAATCCTTTAAAATAAGTCCAAACTCGACATATTTAACTTTAATATTAACGGAAATAAATCACTTCCGGTTTGAAACGTCAACGTCAATTTTGACATATTTGTCATCTTCATTAAAAAACCTTTAAAATGAGTCCAAAGATGACGCACTTATCTCAAAAAACAAAAAAGTTAGAATAAAAAACATTAAACC